GTGCACAATGGATACGCATCAGTAATTTACTCTGCGGGATGGTTTCCTGCACAGGATAATGGAGCAAATCAAACAGACAACTGCAAACACACACACACACACACACACACACAGAAAAAGGAACACTGCAGTTTGACTGAACCAGAGGAAGTGAGAGGAGAAGGCCGACAGCAATTTCCCATCACCACTGAAAGTGAACACTAATCGCAATGCTCCAGCTCCACTCTGGGTTTTACATTTTTCAACTGATACCTTATTTAAAATGTCTAATATCTATATGTCACACACACACACACACACACACACACACAGACACAGACACACAGCAGTTGGAGAAGTTTAATGTGTCATTAAAACAATAACATTAACCCATTAACATGTTATGCTTTTGTTGGAAGCATGATAAGCCACTTGTTATTTTCATGTTATGCACCATAACCAATAAATGGCGGTAATTCTGTCTAAATACACTGAGGGAAAAAAGAGTCACACATGAAAATAGAAAAAAAAAGCTTAAAAAATAACGAATTGCAAAAAGTTTTGGTGTTAAACCCTTCATCAGTGCCTAAATAAGTATATATAAAAATATAAAAATGAATAAATAAATAAAATGCTAAAAACTAAAATCTATTGTTTTAATTTCTACTAGTTAATTCAGACATCACAACATTATAATTTACAGTATGAAAAATGGGTATTCTGGGTATCTGATTTTTTTTTCAGATTTGCTAAAGATTACATTAATACTACGAAATTATTAGTGTTTTAAAAATAACCTTAAGTGAGTCATAGATTATGCCAAATGATTTAGTAGTAATAATAATAATAATAAAAACATATGTAGTAAGTCAAAGGTTAAAGGAGAGGAAATTAGTAAAGTAATGAAATATTAATATCAACTGTACTGATTAAAAAAACTATAGCCATTAATTAGCAATATTATACTGATATATTGTGCATCTGTCACTGGAACTCAAAACAAAACAAAACAAAACAAAACCCTCCTCAATAGGAAATAATAATAATAATACAATTCATCATCATCATCATCATCATCATCATCATCACACAATTCCGCTCTTCATTCCACGCTCAGACACTCCTCAAATAATTTGAACAGAACCCTGAACAGGCCAAACATCAACTGTAAACCCAGAGCTGAAATAGCTGACAATGCAGGATGTAGCCTACTTCAATGTCACTTTGCACCACTTGCTATTCAAGCAAAGTAGGATCCATTTCATAAAAAAACTTCAAAAGTAAAACTCAATGAATAAATACCAGGGAGTTCAAGCTATTTGAGTGGACCAGCCCTATACTGAATCAAATGCTTGTTTTGATGGTGTCAGCAGCCTGAACTGAATGAATAAGCTGACAAACATCACAAACTGTGTCTGCACAGTCTTGAGCTGTTCACAGGCCTGCACTTATTGCATGCTGGGTGGCCAAGAGATAAAACAGTCAGCGTCATGGAGAATGAGTTTATCCTATTAACTCTGTTAACACAGGCTATCAGAGAACAGCAGACCATGCGTGTCAAAAGCAGCGCTCTGCGAAATATAAATAAATAAAGCAGTACTGACAGTGGCACCATTTAAGAGACATGATAACTTCATAGTTTTATTTTTGATTAGTGTCTAATTTTAATCTAGAGATAATAATCCTAGAGATGCTTTGAAAAAATAAATACAAATAAAATAGAAATAACATAAAATAACGATAAAGTTGCAACAGGAAACGTGTCAGTACTTACTTTAGGACCTTGTCTTCCTGGGTAGCCAGGCAAACCTGGAACACCAAGTTTTCCCTAAAAAACGAAAAGAAAAAAGAACAAACTCAGCACATTGTCATTTTGAGTTTTTAAATAATCATCAGGCCCAATACAGTAACAATAAAGCATTTCACCACCCTCCATAAACTGTAAAAGCATATGGGAGCTGTAATGGAGTATTTGGCTGACATTTAAAACTGCCATTCAGAATCAATTTATGATTATGAGTTCGGTGTCATTTTAAGTTTTAATTCACACATGTATTAATAATCCCTGACAGACACTTCAAGTGCCCCAAAAACCCTAGTGTTGATTTTTCCAGGGCTGGTCATTTCAAGTACTTTGCCATTATATTGAACATAATGAGTTTCAAACTGACCTTCTCTCCTGCCATGCCCATGGGACCAGCCTCTCCAGAGGGACCTCCTTTACCTTTCGGCCCCTCTGGTCCGTCTTCTCCTCTGGGGCCCAACACGCCAACCTCTCCCTGAACACCAGCAACAATCCACAAACTTTATATCAGACTTGTAACAACTAAATGGTTAAAACTCACCTTAAATAAATAATAAATAAGTGTTTATAAGAGTTGATTGAAATTAAATGTAACTATAAGTGTTTGTTACTCACCTTATCACCCTTGAGGCCCATGTCACCCTTGAACCCAGGAAAACCATCTTCTCCCTGAAATCAAACTCAGGTCATTTATTTGGGTAAAATGTAAACTTATGCTAATAAACAAATGAATGAATGAATGAATGAATGAATGTGATAACAAAAACGATTTAAATTGACATTTAAAAATATAACTTTTCACAATGAATACTGATAGATAGATAGATAGATAGAAATAGTCAGATGATAGGTAGATAGATAGATAGATAGAAATAGTCAGATAGATAGATAGATAGATAGATAGAAATAGTCAGATGATAGATAGATAGATAGATAGATAGATAGATAGATAGATAGATAACATATAATTTAAATGGAAATTAAATTTAAATACGCACAATAAATACTGTGTCATCACTCCTGAACCCAGGAAAAACATAATCTCAGAACATTTATTTGGGTAAAATGCAAACTCATTTAAATAAATAAATACATTTTCAAAATTCCAAAGTAAAAAACTAAAAATACTGAGCAAACTATCAAACATTTTTATCTAATTTCAAATACTCCATAAGAACATAATGGCTAAATGCTGGCATCTTGTGGCCATAGTGTACATAGTGTACATAGTAACTGCTGGTTCAAACTAGTTCAGTCTGAGAAATTAAATCATATCTATGATTGCATGTTCATTTAACAAACTATAAAAGCTATAAATGTTAAGCTTGAGAATTAATATTTCATATCAATAACGATACATTTTAGAAACTGACTTCACTATTGTATGAATGAAACACTGACACTTGGTGGCCACTGCAGAGGATACAGCCTGAAGCAGATCGAGCCACGATACTGTATATATACAAAACAATTATAACAGATTACAATTCTTCTATCATTTTTTTCTGCTTATAAATCTCTACTGATATCCAGTCATATGGCTTTGCTTTATACCACACACTCATGACACCTGATTTAAGCCATTTTGGTGCAAATAGTCCCTGAAATGGCCTTCCACTTTTAGCTGCTGGCCTGTCATCTGTGTTCCTCATTTTAGAGGCTGACCCAAGAGCTCAGTAATGGAGACAGGGGACGGGTAATTTGCTTACCTTTTCTCCTTTGCCGCCTTTCAAGCCACGGACGCCCTCTGCACCCTAAATGGACAGAACAATGAAAAGAGGCTCTAATGGATAGAATAAACGCACATAATAAAGAACCAGTGAGATGAAGAGAATCAAGGCTGTTTACCTTCACGCCTCGGGGACCGGGATAGCCAATGGACCCCTGGGAACCTGAGTGGCCCTATAGGAAATTAGTAAATATAATAACACTGAATCAATCAGGATTAATAGAGGGGAATTAGGTTTTAAACATCTTAAGGGGCCACACATTAAGTGTTAATTACAGACAGAGAAATGGCTTTAATTTCAATACTAAACTTTTAGACAGCTGCAAAATAGTGCCTTACGGGTGTTTAGTGGCTTTGTACTTGAAATGTGGTCAATAACTGGAACTTAGAGTGACAACTCATTTCGAGACAAACTAAAAATACACTCACAGCTGCTCCTTTCTCCCCGGGAGAACCCTCCTTCCCAGGATGACCCTGTGCAAAGATTATAAACAAAAGCATCTTCATTGAAAGTCTGAAAGTAACATGAGGTAAATGCAGCTGGGTATGGTCTTGTGGATTTAGTGTACAGTTATTTACAGTATTCAAACGCCAGTGTTATAATTATTCCAGTGTAAGAGTCTTTTTTGCAAGAATCAAATTTTTAGGGGTTGTGCACCACTTAGTATTGGAATTGAGATAGCAAAAGAAAAAAAAGTTAAATAAAAAAATAAAAATAATGAAATGGGATCATTTTTTAGTTTTACTTTTATTCAGCAAGTTAATAAATTCATCAAAATTATTAAACTAACCAAAAGAGACAGTAAATACATTTATACTGTAATAAAATAATAGTATTACAGTAATAATATTATAACTCAATTCGAGTCCTTACCCATCTTCAAGAAACGACTAAAAACACATCTGTTCCACCTTTATTTGACCCTCTAACTCTAGCACTTTCCATTCTATTTTAATTCTACTTTATCTATATTTATCTTCTTTAAAAAAACAAACAAAAAAAACAACAACAAACACTAGCTTTCTATTTTTTCTCTGTGTTTTTCTGTCAATATGGGGTGCTGTGTGGACATTAATGAGGAAAAAAAATTAACAAATGATTTTAGCAAATGGCTGCAATATAACAAAGAGTGAAAAATTTAAGGGGGTCTGAATACTTTCCGTACCCACTGTATATATATACAGTATATATATATATATATACACCTTGCAACGTGTACTGCGTTAGGCTAACCGAGACTTGTCATTTGCACTTATATATTGTTGCTCTTTTGTTAGTTTTGACTGCTTTTATTGTCCTCATTTGTAAGTCGCTTTGGATAAAAGCGTCTGCTAAATGACTAAATGTAAATGTAAATGTAATGTTTCTTGAGCAGCAAATCGGCATATAAGAATGATTTCTGAATGATCATGTGACAATGAAGACTGGGGTAATGGCTGCTGAAAATTCAGCATAAACATATATATTCTAAGGCTATTTTACCATAAAATATTTTTGAGTAATTAAAAAAAAAATCATATTATTCAGATTTTTTTTTATTCTATAAATATTAGGTATTACTTATATCAATAACCAACAACACTAAATATTATAAAGAAATACTATATATTTAAATAAATATATAATTTAATGGATCACAGTGGATGTTCATTTCCCAGAATGCTATATTTAAAGTCTTCAAAATGGAGTCAATCCACATGAAAGAGACTATAAGACTGAAATCAAACAAGTTTTCTGTTTTTGCTCATTTTGATGTTGTGTTGGACTAATGAAAGTCCTCTGTCGTGTCTGTGTTGAATTTCTTTGAACTGCAATTCAGTAAATTCCACTTCCTGTCATTCCAATTCAAATTTCAACTCCTGGATTGAAAGGCATCCGCCACTTTAATTCTAAATTGTGCAAGGTAAATATATTCCCCTCAAGCCAGGATTATCACCAAGCATGTTACTGGCTAATGACGTGTGATGATGCACAGTATTTCTGATATAAACATGGAGATTTAGGGGAGGGGAGAATATGAAATACAGAAAAATCCACTTACGGGAGGCCCATCAGCCCCAGCCAGTCCATGGAGCCCCTGTTTCCCATTGGGACCCTATAAGAGAGAGAGAGAAAAAGAAAGAGGATAAGTGAGAAAAGAAGGAAGAAAGAGAAGAGCGAGGAAAAACACACACAATTACTGGTGTGCCCAAGTGATTCGCGGGGCAACTTTTATAAGCAGTTCAATCCTAAAGCATTTCATTATCATCTTTTTCCTCTTGGTAAAGAAGAGATCTAATCATATGGTACGTCTGGAAACACTCCACCACTTCTGGAGTCACATTTCAGACTCTCTGGCCTCCTTCCAGGAGCCCTGAGAAAACGCTTGTCTGAGAGACCAACCAATGACATTTATGTGTGTAAGCATATCTCCTGCTTGTCAAAGCATTAGCGAGTCTTGAGGTGTGTGTGTGTGGTTTTCCTCTAGTCAGCATTGATCTACTAGCAACCTACAGCTTGGAAACTGAGGAGTCTGTTGAATCGTTTATAGGGTTAGGGCAGAAAAACGCCGTCTGTAATAACAAAGACGATGGCTGCCGGGGCAAACTCACTTTCTCTCCAGGTGGACCGATCGGGCCTTGAGGACCAGGCAGACCCTGCAAGACAAGATTTCAGAAGTCAGATAGTACATCATGGGGTCTTCAGGGGAAATCTGATAGTAAAGTTTATATTGGAAAAAGCTGTGTGAGCACCTCTCAGTCAAATCTGAGAAAGAATGTTGAACAGGATACGTTATTCTTGTGTGAATATACGAGTTGTCTCTTTCCTCATGACTTTTTCTGTCAAATTCTTTTAATGACAGTTTATTAAGCTCCACCTTTAACTGAATACAACAGAAAAAGCATAAAAAGAGCATGTAATAAATTGATATATTTCCAATTAAAATAGGAAGTTTGTGTGGGAGATATTAAAGCGGTGGGTTCCCTTTTTCTTTTAAACTAGCCAAAAAGCTATAGCAAATGTACGTCACAGTCATAAACATGATTTGCTAATTGCTAGTCAGTTGTGGGTGGTATTGGGGGAGGGACTTTCTCATTCTGGAAAGCATCTGATTGGACAAAATTCTTTGCAGTACATGAACATGAATCATCTATATTTTTGGTTTATTTACACTGCTGTTCAAAAGTTTGGCATCAGCAAGGCTGCAGTTATTTGATTAAAAAATACGCTAAAACAGTATATTGCGAATTATTTTTATCATTCAAAAGTACTGCTTTCTATTTTAATATATGTTCAAATGTAATTTATTCCTGTGATGCAAAGCTGAATTTTCAGCATCATTACTCCAGTTTTCAGTGCCTCATGACACTTTAGAAATCATTCTAATATGCTGATTTGCTGCTTGAGAAGCATGCATTATTATCAATGTTGAAAACAGTTGTGCTGCATAATAGTTTAGTGGATTTATTTTATTTATTGATGAATAGAGGGTTTAAAAGAACAGCATTTATTTGAAATTGCTAAATAAAAGTATTGATTTCTTAAAAAAACGGACCTTTTACTGACCTTTTTGAACAGTAGTGTATATATATAGTGTATCTACAAAAGATTGTCTTTGTCAACTTTTAGGAGTTCAGTAGTGTGTAGATTACTTCAAAGCTAATAGACAAAGACTAAAGGTCACACAAATGTCATGGACAAAGGGAAGTGAAAGATTCTTGATTAGAAAAACACAATCAGACTGTCTGAGAGAAAGACAGAGCGAGTGAGAAAAAGAGCAGACTGACAGTGATCATTCGACTGATACCTACATGCGGACCGGGGTTCCCCTGTTGCCCAGAAGGTCCAGGCTCTCCTTGAGGACCCTGTTAGAACATTTAACAAAAACACTTTAGTACAAAACACTATTATTATTCCTACACTTCACTGCTCCAGGGAGCTTATGACATTTTATAAAGATATGAAAAACAGTCCCAGTACCTCAAACTCCAAAAATACTCTGCATGTTAATTAAACAACAGACACGTGAAAATTGCAAATCCATCTTTTTTCCATTGGCTGTCCTTCCTGAATTGCACAGCGTACTGTAATAAAATCTATTATAGCAGCTTTAAACCACTGGCAAAGAGGAAGAGACAGAGATGGGTACAAATTTTATATATATATATAAAAAAAAAACTGCATAAGAAAGGCAGTTGTAGTTAGAGTGAGACCTTGAGTGAATGGAAAAAAAATATATATATATATATCATTTTATATTTATATAAATATATTTATGTATTTTAATTAACTCCCGTGATACTCCTAGTATTTAATGAACCTGATGAGTTTATTTGCTAGCTAAGAAGTTGGACCAAACACTTGTGTATACTGATGTATAACTTTGATCTACATTACTGAATCTACAACAAACACTTATTCATGACATTAATGAAAACACAATCAGTTATGTCACTGTCAGGATGATGTATTAGTTAATTCATTGTCGGTGTTTCTCTCATCTAATAGCCTTATTTAGATATGACCTTCGCTTGGGACAACAAATATGTTTCAGAGAGGTCAGAGGTTGTCAGCAAAAGACAGTTAACCAGGAAACCCCTTCATGAGGTGACCAGAAGAGGCTCTCTGTGATACTGTGATAAGTACACTACTAAAGCAGGGGAGAGAAAGTCCTTACCATATTTCCTTTAGGGCCAGGTGGTCCATCCAATCCAGGAAGACCCTGCATGTGTATAAAACAGAAGTGTTTAGCTGTGAATTTCATGCTAATATACAGTTATAATTAAGCAAGTGTGGTACATACACGCTGTCCAGAGGTCCCAGCAGAACCTCTGGGGCCCAGCAGTCCTCTTGGACCCTGGGAATCAATAAAAGAGGCATGTCATCATGAGAATTAATTAGACCATTATACTGACCTCAAGCCAAAAGACCCCTTGGTGGATAGAGATATGGAGCATGGACCCCTTTTACATATGTGTTGTATTTTGAGTTACAACAAGTACCATATCTAGGTATGCTTCTGTAAGAGATTCGGCCAAACGTTCTACTATAAAGAGCCAATAAAACAAACTTCACTGAGGGCTGTGGGCTGAAAGTAAATGTTGCATTATATATAACAATATTATATTAAAATGTACATTTAAAAAAATCACATTCACCTAAATTAACATTAACATTAACCCCCTCTTGTGATGTGGCATGGCAGGACAAATCAAAAGGCATCATGGAGCAGCTTTAGCCTGCAGGCCCTGGTTTAAGTATATATTGTGATTTATATACTTTATGATGGTGATTAAACTACAGTATCATTAAAATATTATCATTATTGATGATTCAGATAATTGTACATTTACATTTTTTAAAGTGGAAGGGACGACAAAACATTTTATATATCAATATTATATATGTGTTTAATGCAAATGTAATTTTTTCACTAATTAGTTTGCATACTTGGTGGACACCCTGTATTTACATTGTATAACAGTCACATTTTCAACAGTATGTCTACTTTGTGATCTAGACTGATTAAAGCTTCAGTAATATCTGCATACTGTGCTTTGATCAACTCAGAGAGGCATATTAAAAATTCTCTTATTAAAGTAACAGTCAGCACAGAACACAAAGTTTAAGAAAGGACACCCTGAATATGCTTTTTATTGATTAATTCAAAATGGTTTAGAGATAACTATGTAAAACAGAAACTAGTAGGTACTTTGGGTTTTTGCTGTAGACCCAGAGGTTCACTACATCAACTGTGGGACTCAATCCAATTAGGTTCCACATCTTCAGGGCTGATTCTGTTATTTGTTAGATTTCTGCTGATGGAGTATTTAGTCAAAGAGCGAGTAAAATATGTGAGACTATTAGCGTGTCGTGAGAAAGAGAGCTGGAGAAAATAGAAAACTGCAGCACTCCTTTCCTATACAGAGCCATTACCTCAATGAGCAACAAATACTGAGATCTGAGGTGGAAAGAGCAGGGTGGGCCGTGAAGAGTGATTATAGTGGGCAGTCATGTTCTTTTAGGCATAAAGCGAAGTCAATAACCCTCGCGTTCTGTCCTGAGAGCCCCAAGGCACATTTGAATAACTCAAAAACTTGCTTAAAAAAACCATTGTTAACTTGATACTTCACTTTTCCTAATTAGGTTATATACAACATTTTAACTCGATAATACATACCTTACATGAAAAGGTCACATTACTTGTGGTCTTAGACAATTCAAATACAAAATCGTTCAAAAGTTTGGAGCCAATTTTTTTTTTTTAAGAAATCTCTTACTCTTACTAAGGCTGCATTTATTTGATCAAAATACGGTAAAACAGTAATATTTGAAATATTATTCCGAATTAAAATAAATGTTTTCTATTTGAATATATTTTAATATATCATTTATTGCCATGATGGCAAACATGAATTTTCAGCAGCCATTACTCCAGTCTTCAGTGTCACATGATTCTCCAGAAATCATTCTAGTATGCTGATTTGGTGCTCAAAAACATTTTTATTATAAATTAATTAAAGTTGAAAACAGTTGTGCTACTTGATATTTTTGTGGAAACTGTGATACAGTTTTTTTTCTTATAAAAAAATCTATAAATATTAATGTCACTTTAGATCAATTGATTGATTTTTTTTTCTAACTGACCCCAAACTTTGGGGTCAACGTCAGCATATTTAGGATTTTTGAACGTTAGCATATTTAGGATTTTTTATTCTGTTTTTCAAACAGAAACTACTTCATTATATTGGAAACTTATTTCATAAGTCTGTGCCTACACCGTGATGCAAAAGAGGGTTAAAGCTTCAAACAATGTCTACTAAGCTTTGAATAGTTCACATAAAAAATATTTTAAAGGGAAAATATGACAAGAGAATACAAAATGTAAATAGAGATGGAGATGCTTACACTTTCTCCTGGCATTCCTCTCTGTCCAATTTCACCATCCTCGCCCTGCAGACAAGAGCACAAACACACTTGCCAACGTGTCTGCACACACATATGCAAGTACAAATGAATCAAAATAAGAAATTAATGTGTCACTTGGACAAACACACCCTCGGTCCATCCTCTCCTGGAGTGCCTGGTGAGCCAATAGGACCTCCCTCACCCTAAAAGAAAACGAAAGAGATTAAATGACAAAGGGAGAAAAAGAGTAAATGTATTATTACTGTCCCTGCCTGCCTGCCTGCTTTTGGCTCCATGCATTGTTAGGGCCCATGACCACTATTTATAAGACTGCATCCCTATAAGAAGAGGCTATTACATAGCGGGGCCTGTAATTACCCAGGGCAGGATTAAGAGGACAGCACTTTGGCTGGAAATACACACAGCTCCCTGTGATCTGCGGGCCTCTTTCACTATACTAGCCCAGGCCAAGCAAGCCACACTCTGCTGTGCCTAGCGAGGGCAGCTTTCGTTTGCCAGAGGAACGCAAGCACGCCAAACAACCCCCAGTGCCACTATAATGAGGTCAGCTTCTGCCACTATGACTGTCAGCACGCTAAACAAAACGTACAGCGGCAGACATGGAACATTATAAAAATGCACTCGGTCTTGGCAGGAGCCGTCGAGAAGCTTTTCAAATAGAGTTAACGCAATATTAGATTTCTGTAGGAAAACTGCTGCTGAGGAATAAAATGAAACCAGGCAAGAATTGTTCCCATAATCATAAAGCGCTGTTCGAGACAAGCTGGAAGTTTGATAATTGAACATTAAAAAGACATTTTTCTCACGGGTGGTGGTCAGGCTTGCGTTCTGCTGTCTAGAACAATTCGCTTTCATTTCAAGTATTACAACAATGAAAGGAAACTATGTATGAGTTTTCTTAAGAATAGCTCAGCACTTACCCTGTGTCCTTTCTCACCAGGAAGACCAGGAAGTCCATCAAATCCTCGGTCCCCCTGTTAGACAGTAATTACAACGAGAATAAAAATAGGGCTGTCAAAGTTAAAACCTAAGTGCATGTTTTTATGCATTTATTATGTTACTTATTTCTGCCCATGTATTTTCTTTCAAACTAGGGCTGTGTATTGATTTAAAAAAAATCTAACAAAATAATTGCATAGCTTGTGTGTGCGTGCACACTTAATTGGACCTAAAAATACATTTTTTAATCACTAATGCTATTTATTATAAATATATTTACACAATAAATTTTCAAATTAATGTTAAAAAATTAGGTATATTTAAAAAAATATTTCATGCCATCTTCAGTAATCTTATATATATAAAAAACAATACATCTGACTTTTTAAAAAAATTCTTTCTGAGGATAAAATGGCCACTTACAGCAATTATTTAGGCCTGAACTGCAAATAATCAGACCAATGTTTTTGTTTGGTAACACTTTAGTGTAGGGACCAATTCTCACTATTAACTAGTTGTTTATTAGCATGCCTATTATTAACATATTGGCTGTTTATTAGTACTTATAAAGCACATATTCTGCATGACCATATTCTACATCTCTAATCCTACCCAAACCTAAACTTAACAGCCACCTTATTAACTATTAATGAACAGCAAATTAGGAGTTTATTGAGGCAAAAGTCGTAGTTAATGGTTTGTTAATAGCGAGAATGGGACCTTAAAATAAAGTGTTACCTATTGTTTATCATTTCCCTGTTACTAAATCAAACAAAAACATTAGTCTGATAATTTAATAATTATTGTTATAATTCCACAACATTATCAATCTTATAACAACCTTTAATTTAAATTATTATTTTAGCTAGTAGAGATAAACTCTTTAATTCAAAATCAGTAATTATATGACTCAGACACACAGTAACAAACACTCCCACTCCCAGTTTTCAGTACAAAAGAAGCAGTTCTGAAACCTCAATCAGTGCTAACTGTGTTTTAAGTAGAGGTTTTAAGTCAGAGGTGATTTTACCTTGGCTCCTGATTCTCCAGGAATTCCTCTGGCTCCGTCGGCTCCATTTCGGCCCTGTAAAACCAGGTCGCATCATCAGCCTGATGCTGCAGGTTAATGTGCTTAACATATGTTTTAAACAACTGCAGAATTAATGTGAGACAGGAGATGACGTGAAGCGAGCGAGTACACACAACCTAAATAAGGTGTGTTGAGGCTACAGCACGTTTGGGGATTGAGTTATTGTGGCAATTTGACTCATTTATAACAAAACTGTGAATAAACTGTGTCAAAGGAGAATCTGAGAAACGTTTGGCATTACAACTGGCAGATGTGAATGTGAATCCAGCAGACATATGTCATTTAGTTAAGCTGAAACAGGTAAATTAAGGTCAAGGCTAATGGACACAGACAGTTTCACGGAAAATCTGGTGCGCGGTTGGAGAGTGAACAGTGGGCTTCTTGCGTAGAGCCTTTCAGCTTCACTTTGCCAGAGTACTTCAGCAGCAGTGTTGCAGATGTATTATGTATGTCACCTTTTTGCTTTTTCAATGTCATGCCACAATCAAACACTACCAATTCACAGCATGAGCAGATTTGTCCTATTCTTACCCTCTTGCCTCCTTTTCCATGTGGTCCAGTAGGGCCCTGAAGTCCTCTCGGTCCCTTAAAAACACACAACATTCTGTAATGAAAGCGTTCTGCTAAATGACAAAGCAGCGTTGCAAATTAAGTAAAAACAATTGTTAAATCGTTACTTTTTATGTGACGTAACACTTAAAGCCTAATAGTTCTTCCTCACCGTAGCTGACTGAGACTCTCTCTGCTCCAGAGTAAAAGCGCATGTTTTTTTACATTAGAAAGTGCTATTTCATTGCGGACGAGTGTTTACCCCTTCAGCATATTTCACATTCAATTGCATATAAGCTATACCATGAAAAGAAGCATGCTAATTGTTATGACAGCGTTAAAGTTTATGGCGGCTGCACCTGTGGGCTCCCAGGCAGAGCAAAACTCTGACGTAACACCCTAATTCAGTTAATTAATCTGCAACAGATAAAGACTACAACTGGATTCACCTTTGAGGGTTTATTTGTCATTTAATATCAGCATTTTTAGAAAAAAAAAAATGTTCGGGGTGGGCCTAAAGAAAACAGTCACTTATAAGCATGATGCACATCTTTAATATTTAATCGAATGCAATGCAACTTAAAGGGATTGTTCACTCGAAAATGAAAAGTCTGATGACAGAACTATGGCTTTTAATATACATCTAATTATCTTAACTCTGCGGGCTCAAATATTTTGTCGCATTATAAATGTCTTTACTATCACTTTTGATCAGTTTTACGGCATTATTGCTGAATAATAATATTAATTTCTTTTAAAGAATAAGAATAATGATCAGATACTGAGTCTCAGGAATACTCATATCATTGTTCTAATTAGGATTACAATTAGGATTAAAGCTGTTTTTAAACAGGTTGTTAAAAAGAGACATAGTCACCTGTGGGCCAGAATCTCCACTTTCCCCTTTAGCACCAGGTGCACCAGGACCACCCTGAAACGCACACATACATACACAGATGAGTTTTACGTCTCACACACCTCTCTAAACACCAATATCATATGCGTGGAGCTGTGTTCGGGTCACACTCTGGCTACCCAAACACATTCCTCGGCCATTGCTTTTAAAGGGCATTTGATTTGGAGGCAGCTGTGGAAAAGAATGAGAGAAATTCTAGTGGCATTCTTGGTATTATTCATCTCAAGAGGATGAAATACAGAAACACAAATGTGACAAAAGAAATCTGAGAAGGGAACGTGAAAACAAACAGCAGACAGCCTGAAAGCACATCAGCACCGAAGAACTGTTCATTTTCTGGTCATAAATCATAGCGAGATGAAAGCAACACATGTTCCTATCAGTGTTTGTGTGATGTCAACTGGAGGAAGTTGGGTTTGAAAGGAAGACATGGGAAAAGAAAAGAGACATTCATGAAGGTAAATCTTGCATGTATGTGGCTTTTAGATCGTGTTTATTTTATGTGCTCTTCTGTGCCCCTCATCTACAGAAAAAAAAAAATAATAATAATAATAAAAATGAATTAAATGCATTTAAATTGAACAAGCATCACAATGCCTGAACTTTTTGTTCACAACTGAATTTCACTGTGTGTGAAAACCTATATAAACCTATATATATATAGGTTTGAAAACTGTTTATTTAATTTAATTGTATTAATTTACATTGAAAATTATTCATGTTTTCCAAATACAAAATAATAATAATAATTAATTAAACACATTTACATTGAATAAGCATCACAATGCCTTAACTTCTTGTTCACAACTTAACTTCATGTGCAATATAGTTATGTTTGTAAAACTGTTTATTAAATTAAATTTAATTAATTCACATTGAAAATGATTAATGTTTACTAAAATCAAAATAATAACAATAACAACAACAACAACAATAATAATAATAATAATAATAATAATAATAATAATAATACAAATAATGAATTAAACACATATAAATTGAACAATCATCACAATGCCTTAACTTCTTGTTCACAACTTAATTTCATTATGTGCAATATATTTATGTTTGTAAAACTGTTTATTAAATTAAATGTAATTAATTCACATGGAAAATGATTAATGTTTACTAAAATCAAAATAATAACAATAACAATAACAACAACAATAATAATAAAAATAATGAATTAAACACATATAAATTGAACAATCATCACAATGCCTTAACTTCTTGTTCACAACTTAATTTAATTTTGTGCAATATATTTAGGTTTGTAAAACTGTTTATTAAATTACATTGAATTAATTTACATTGAAAATTATTCATGTTTTTTTAAATACAAAAATACATACTGTCACAGAAACATTGGCAACTGATTAGAAACATTTTTAAAATCTGATGTCACCTATTCATGAAATTTATTTCATATGTTTTTTTTATAGATATATTTTGCTTTATATAAATATATCTCTATTTCTTGTTGCATTACAATTACTTACCAACACTTACCCAACAAATGTTGGGTAAAACGCTTGTAAAAATAAATTCGACATATGAAGTAAAAGTGGTAATAGAACATAGTTTTATTTTGTTGAAAATAAATAATTTTGTTTAATGTTTTCCTTAAATTATATAGTCATTATTAAATGTCACTTAGAAATGGGACACTCACCACAGGGCCGGAACGTCCTGTCAATCCCATTGGGCCAGGTGGTCCCCTCATAGTCAACTGCAGCGACAAAGTAAATGGTCAAAAAAAAAAAAGTTAGCAAACCTGACATTAACTACAGTAGAGTACATAAGTTGTGTTACTGGCAACTTGTACATTTCCATGTAGCATACAGTGTTATGAGAACTATAAACCTGTCTTAGTTTTAACAGTCCCTTTAAACTTGCTCATATACATTCTCTGCACCTAACACACTCGTTTCAGCCAAAAATAAAAATAAAAATCATGAAACAAGGGTACACACCCGAGCCTGGGCGAGGATGGCTTGGGCCTGAGCTTCTTGTGCCGTCACCACTGGACCTTTGTGAGCTTCTCCACCAGCGCGGAACTGTCAGAGAAACATCCACAAACATAGAAATCGCAAGTTTATTTCAGTACTTTTACTGCATGCTGGAATTTAGAGGGGCCACTGGAGACACTACAACATAAAGTGGCCTCAACGGTCTTGTCATTATGGCTTTGCATCTGGGCTGCAAAGTGCCAGTTTGTGTAGAGCTAATGTAGACTTTTGGGTGTAGTGCTAGTGCAGTGGGTTTACGGGGTGGGGTTTAGGGCTTTTCACAGCTGTAACAATTCATAACCTGCTTGGACGTTTACAATGATAGTAATTTGTCCAATGTTAGTGGAAGTGGCCATTTGCAGCTGATTTTGAGATAAGTTCAGTGGTTTCTCTAAGATTGCGGGCTGGAAAATCTTGTCCTTAATCAGAATCATTGGAAATGTATGGGTTGGATGAGCTTACCGGCAACATGAGGATGGTGCCAGAGGGCCCCGGAGCTCCATCTGCGCCTGGCAAACCAGGACGACCAGGAGGGCCCTGAGAGAAGAAGAGAGAAGGAGAAAAGAGGGAGGGAAAACAGAAGGAAATGAGCCATAAAGTGTGTGGGAAACAAATGTGTAAATGGCTGTAGAAAAAAGACAACTATAGGCATGGAAAGAGAGATTGTTTCTTTAAAGTTTAAAATACAGGAAAAATACGGTAGGATCATTTTAAATTGTCGGTTAGGTCACCTAAATCAACTCAAAATCCCTAAACAGTTCACAAAAACAAAACTTGACTAAACAGTTTAGAGTCGCAAATTGCACCTAAACTGCAGGAGATTTCTGCAGCGTTCCTTACGCCCGAAATCAAAAATAGCTAATGTGCTAAAGCCCCGTCATTATCCCATAATAATACACTTAGGTTTATTTCGCTTTATATTTATACTGCGGTTTATGTATGTTTTGTGTTGTTTATAGTTCCTTTCATTGCGCTGTTTATTTGTGTGTGTGCTCGTCATGAAACTGACACCCCACAAGAAAAGCGGGGAGGACTACAACGCATGCACTCATATGATGGAATGCTGCTAGGCTAGTTTTGGGAAGAGATCTCTTTAGCAGGCATGTCACGCTCCTCTTGTAGACGGCTCACTTTAAATTGTTCCCATATGACGGTGTAATTGTGTGAGTGCATGTGTGTGTGTTTTAAGGCTGGGCAAACGTCCCTTCTATGTAACATATACACTGACACCTAGCGCACATGTGCTTCTGAATATAAATCAGGGAGGATGTACTGGCCATCGAGGGAAGTGGCCGTCATTGTTAATTAAGCATTTTCGGCTACATAAGAGGAGGAACTGATGGAGATCAAAGTGGGCGGGAAATCGCTTCCCCTCACAGACAAAAAGCCCTTTGTGCTGGAAGACGCAGGTCAATGATGGTGTGAGTGCTGTCCGTTTCCCAGAATGCACTGCAAAGGCTAACTCTGCAGGAGGTTAAGAAGAAGAAGCCAAGCTGCACCACCGTAAAGAGGAAAAACTATCCAGCTCTTCTCTGTGCAGTAATCAACAGAGAGCATTTACAATTCTGAAAAATGGTGCGAACAGCACCAAACATAAGAATCTATGGGAGAATGAGTATGTGTTGATGTGTATGAGAGGTTATAAGCTCTGCTGCTCCTCTGGAAGTGTTATTAGAGTGAGGATTTATAGGCAGATCTGGTTTCAGCGTGGCCTCTCAGGTCTTTGTAATATGCACACATCTGCTCGTTTACATGCTGCTTGTCATTGGCTTATTATCTCGATGCTTTAAACAATGTAAACTTTACTATTATCTTTATGTGGAAGTCTAACTCCTCTAATAAAGTGAGAAAAGGATTGTGAAAGTTCCGAAAGGGATACGGTTACCTATAACTGGTGTATATACGTGAATAAGATATTTTAACACCACAAACAGGATTAAGAGATAGTAGGTAACCCATATGAGGGATGATTTTTTGGGAAATGTCAACTTACCCTCTCACCAGGATCTCCGTAGAGGCCTGAGGAGCCTTGTATACCTGGTGTGCCGGGGAGACCCTGACAAAAAGTACATGCGAAGCGTCAAAGGCAATGTAACATAGACAGAAACACACTATGCTGCCATTTTCCATCAAGTTAAGTTTTCCTATGGAGTTTCACCATGTGTGAAAAGAGTGCGGAACAAGGTGATACTCACAGGGGGACCTGGTGGTCCTGGGGGTCCCTCTACCAGCATCCCCTGAAAAGAATTGAAGGGGAGAGAGGAAGAAAAACATGAGTTCGGTAGCATGCTGGGCAGGCCGTAAATCTCACAGTATGAGCAGTACGGAAATAAAAAGAAAATCAGTGAAGAGTGAAGAGGAACCCAAAAGATGTGGTTCATTTAGTCCAACTGAACCAATCGCCTTTTTTCACTATTCAAGAAAAGCGAATACTGCAACTGCTGTCAAAATCAGATGGATAATACGGTGACATTTGAAAGTATTAATGTAAGAATCGTTTTTCCTGGACTGCTACCATCTTCCCTTTCCTGTACAACTGTACAAAGAATAGTATCTACCAAAGTAGATGGGAGGTATGACTACATTGGCATATTACAGCTCCAAAATGTAGGATGCATTACATTGATCAAAAGCGATAGTAAAGACTTTTACATTGTTACAAAAATCTAATAAATGAAAAAAGCAACAGCTGTTTTCAGCACTGTTATTAATAAGAAATCATTCTTGAATTTGATTTCTCGCATGTGACACTAAAGACTGGAGTAAAGGCTATTGAAAATTCAGCCTTGCCATCAAAGGAATAAAATAGTTTAAAATGTATTAAAACAGAAAACAGTTATTTTAGATTGTAATAATATTTCACAATATTACTGTTTTTTTTTACTGTATTTTTGATCAAATAAATACAGCCTTGGTAAGCATAAGACTTTAAAAAAATAATTTAACATTTAAAAATACTCCCAACTTTAAACTTTTGAATGGTAGTGTATATGTAAGGGATAATTAATGGCTTGCCGTGCATTAAATGATTTTAAATGTGAAGTGACGTGGAGGCCAATTGAATTATGAAATTAATTGCCTCCACAATTAATTATCGATCGATCGATCGATCGAGAGAGAGAGAGAGAGAAAGAGATGACAGTTGTGTGTGCTTTACCTGCATGCGTCTGCGCGTCTCTCTCTACAAACAATTAATTACTTCAAAAACAGCGCCACCTCGTTGCTGAGAAATATAATGTAGTGATCTAGTATCTAGGCTATTTTATTAATAAAAATCATGGGGAAGTGTTGACAACAAGTTTATGTGTGTGTGCAGCACAATCTGCAATCTCCGACTCTCTCTCTGTGTGTGCGAGTGATGTGTGTGGGTTTGTGTGCATCAATTGAAGCAGTGCATTAATATAGAACGGTGATTAAACTGACTTGGAACTACCTGTGCATTAAATGGTTCTACTGCATACCTGCCAGCCAACCAGAATCCAGTATTCAGACAGACCATGAAGTAAATAGTAATATACAAACAATTATTCATTTTATTTGGTCACACTTTATTTTAAGGTCCAATTCTCACTATTAACAAACCTTTTAATATGGCATTTGCCTCAATAAACTTCTAATTTGCTGTTTATTAATAGTTAGTAAGGTAGTTGATAAGTTTAGGTATTGGGTCAGATTAGGGTTTTAGAATATGGTCATCATGCAAAATATGTGCTTTATATGTACAAATAAACAACCAATATGTTGTTGAGCGTCCTTTAGCTTGGGAAAGGCGCTATATAAATTAAACATATATATATATATATATATGTTAATAATAGGCATGCTTATAAGCAACTAGTTAATAGTGAGAATTGGCCCCTACACTAAAGTGTTACCTTTTATTTTTGGGTTAATATAATGTTATATATAACTGTTTGCTGTCTGCAACATTCTGAACTGACACACTACTGAAGGGAAAAATATGATGCATTATTAGTAGCTGCATTTCATTTGGTACTTGTAAAAGCTTCACGCAGAGTTTACCTACCGGCTCAATGACTGCAGGTTCACCTTTTTGCCCCTTTTCACCACCATAGCCACCACCAACCTACAACAGAGGCAAAACAAACAGAGATTTAATGACAGAGGAAGTACTACTCATGTAGACCAAACAACTGTAAAACAGCACATTAAGCACTACAGCTAATGCCAAAAATGGACTGTATAACTCTATAAAGTCAAGTGGTGAACATGCTCAGTGATTACTGTGAGGATGATAAGAAATGAAGTGTGAACTCCTCCATCTTTTCCTATAACGTCCACTTATAAGACCCACAGGGAAAGTCATTTAACAATATTTATACAGTCATTTAACACAAGTATTAAATCCAGCCCATTAGTGTGTGTGCATGTGTGTTTTGTATTTGTGAACCAGGATGATATATCTCTCCAGGAATGAAGAAAAGGAGCACAAAGCCACTGTGGTCAGTGTGTGTCTGTGTGAACGAGTGCTTGTGTTGAGCTGTGAAAATAAGTCTCAAGTCTTATAACAGATCAACACTGCAATCACACAGCTAACATTTCATTTCCTGTCTCCCACACACCGCAAGCAAAACGGCTACAATTGAGAGACTTTCATGTGTTGCTGTGTCAGCAGACATACTGAAACATAGTAAGGTTAATGGACATTATTCCTAGTAATTAGGAGCATTAGAATTACAGTTATGTGGTTGCAATAATAATGAAAATAAAAACATCCTTGACATTCTCTTGCCACACAATTGACTTGTTTTCAACATAAAGATGGAGAAGTCAACTCACATTGCTCTCTGTGACCTGCGTTTCAGCAGGTCGGCCCGGTTCAAACTCGCTCTCGTAGGTTGATCCGGTGGGTTTAGCTCCATTAGTATTGTAGTCATAGAACGAATCTTCATAAATGCTGGGGTCTACCTCTTTTGTATCATATTCGTTAATGTCGTATTCCTTAAAGTCCTGGTTTTCTGCACCATTAGTGCTTTTGGACTCCACAATATCCACATTCTCATTGATGGCAACGGTGGGATCCACTCCAACTTCTTCTATCCCTGTAATGTAGTCGTCTACTATTTCCTCTTTTGGAGATGGATTCTGCCCAGCCCGGGGAGGCAGGAAGTCAGCGAATGAAGGGAACAGGGAGGTTAGTCAATGCAGACACCTAATCAAACTAATGAACTCATTTAATGAAGCTCTACAGGTGAAAATACAATTGCACTGGCAAAGCATAATTTTAAATGGGATCATTTTAGACATCCAGTAAGTAAAAAAATATGAAAAAATCCTGCGCCAATTAAGTAAAGCAAAAAGAATGTGTTTACAATTGGGTGCGTAGATTCAATCAATAGAAGAAAAATACAAAAAGCCAAGGCAAAAAAAAAATCCGCACACCAAACGAAATGCAAAGTTCAAGGTCCTTTGAACAAGAGTTTGTTCCTGAAGATTTACATAGAGGTGACAACGAAAACTAAAGTGCACAAAGTGCTCACTGAAGATAGTCCTGCCAGGACTGAAACGTTTGTTTTTTTGTATGTGTGTGCACAGTCACTTTTTTGTTTGTGCACTTTAGTTTTTGTTGTCACCTCTATGTAAATCTTCAGGAACAAACTCTTGTTCAAAGGACCTTGAACTTTGCATTTCGTTTGGTGTGCGGATTTTTTGCCTTGGCTTTTTGTATCATTTTAGACATTACAGTGTGTAATTGGTCTAATTTCTGTTCAACTACATATTAATATGCATCTCAATATGTGTATTATATGATATGGCCTTACAAATGTACAATATGTATTTAAAAACCTGCTTTGTTTGTCAATAAACTACATGACATTTAAGTACAACAAATTGATTAATATCTATTTATATTATCTATTTATAATAATAATAATAATAATAGTAATAATAATTCATATTTGTTTCATTAAAATATATATGAATGTCAGTATATAATTATACATTTTATATGCATAAACAAATTATAATTTTAAAATGATATGCCATTTAGTTTATGATATGGCCTTACAAATGTACAATAGATATTTAAAAAACTGCTTTCTTTGTCAATTAATTTAATGACATTTAAGTAAAAAATTGATTCATTTCTTTTTATATTATCGATTTATACTACTACTACTACTACTAATAATAATTCATATCTGTTTCGTTTATATATATATGAATGCCAATACATAATTATAAATGTTATATTTATAAACAAATTATAATTTTCAAATTATATGCCATTTAGTTTATATTGAAAGTGTCAACAAGTGTTCAAATACTTTTTGGGGCAACTTTATGTGACAAACAACTATAACATTCAATATTTTACCATTGCAGTGAATAGAAACTAAAAATCTGAATCGTTTTGGTAAATAAAAATGACAAACCACAACAGCCTTGCATGTGATAATGCTGCACTGGTTTCATGTCTTACTTTGTACATCCTATGCCTTCCAACTTTTTTTTTTATACTGGAAAACTATTTTGGCTTTAAGTCTGACAGCTTTCCTCACCTAGGGGCCTTTATGCAGTGAACAAAAGTACTTAAGATTTCTCTAGTTAATCCCAGCCTTTGTATTGTATACCAGGAGTGCTTTATGAGGCTGCGTCAGCCCATGTAGGTGTATCATTTGAAGCAGACGTTTGGCCATCACTAAATGCAAGACATATTGTTCCAGTTAAAGCTGGATGTTCTTCATTTAGACTTCATTTGTGCGATGTCTTAGAACAAACTGTGCCAGAATCATCAAACTATTGAAATAACATAAATAAGGAAAATGCTATGATTTCACTGCGTTCTGCTGAACGTAAACCGTTACATGGAATAGTGGTTTTTATTTGACTTTTACCCATAAAAGTCAGACTGAGGTACAACCATTCGGTAACGAAAAAACACCTTAAATGTGGATGATTTTCTACTTTTCTCTCATAGCTTAGTAATAACATGATCTAAACATAGCAATTATTTACATTTATCAAAAAATAAGGTGCAAAATAATACTATTATAAAGTCAGAAAAGCTTTACCAAAAGAATGCTATTTAAATAGAAACCCACTTAAAATAGACAATGGAAAATAAAAATGAGGAGCATTCAGATCTTTACCTCATTGGCTGGAATGATAACAGAAGGGGTTTCAGTACCATAGTCCTGCTCAATATAGTAGTCTCCAGTGTCAGCAGTGCTGGGCTATATCACACAAGAGATTCATCACTCAGAATGAAGAAAAAAAATGATCTAATGTTGAGATGTGAATGTTCATTTATTGTTCATTTTAAAACAACTGCTTATTCTTAGCTGTTTATATCCGAATTTGAAATATGAGCAGTTCAAGTGCAAGTAAAAGTTAGATTTGGCAAGTGAATAACAGCTGGCCGGTAATTTTATTACATATTTCAACACAATAGTGGATGATTTAAATCACTCTGAAAGAAATCAAACTGTCTACAAATGGGGGGGAAAAATCTCAGTGTAACATTTATAATCAAAAATTAATAGGATACATTGAGTTGCACTGTTTGTCTACATTTATTTTGTCTCTATGACAGTGGAATTATTTCTTGATAAACACAATATGAAATACAGTTTCATGCATGGTCAATACATTTTCTCAAAATCTGCAGATCTAGCAAAAAGTTACATTCTGAGTCTGTATTTTAATGAAAGTGATGGCACATGAGGAGACAGAAAGGCAAAGTGACTGAGAGTAACAGAACAGTGGAGCGTGAGAGTTGGGGTAATAAATCAGAGACCACACAGTGTGGAAGTGGGCGGGCTGAAGAAAATCTCACAGTGATTGACATGCACCTGGGCCATACAGATGAGCAAGAGTGTTTACCTTGGTCTCAGTACCGACATTGTCAGTGGGATTTTCAGTGGCAGTCCCTTCTTCTGTGTAGTCATAGAACTCATTATAATCTGTGTATTCAGTATTGTACTGAGAGAAAGAGATGGTTGCATGTTAGAAAGAAAGAATTGAATTCAAAGCCCTTACAGAGTCCTCAAAACACATCTGAACACTTTTTGAATATCTGATATCAAAAACAAAAAGTGTAAACAATAGATAAAATATCAAAACCATTTAACTTTTTTTTGTGAAAAATGTCTGTACTTTTTATTATTTAATAAACACCACTTGATTTGATATTTTGTTAATTAATGCAACAATGTTCATACATTTTTAAGTGTGGCTACATTTTTAAGTGTTCAAATGCTTTTTGGGATCACTGTACCAAGGGGAAGATGCATTGTAGCATACATTATTGGCATATCACATATAATACAAATATAAGAATATAAATCATGCAAAATGTGCTTAGGTATGCCATTGACATGATGGGTGATCAGTGAACTACAAAACCCTTTTGTAGTTTAAGTATTTGAGAACTTTAATTTCTTTGACCTTCCCATCCATTTAGACCATCAAATCAGTAATGTCAAAAGGCTTAGTTTGATTTGATGATTTACATGACATATTTTTACACATAGGTATTTATCTAACTGTATCATTTAACAAATGGTTTTTCATTCAAAGCATTTTATGGTACAAAAGCACAAAATAAATGCTTTGAGCCCAACTGGGCCTCATTCATGAAACACAAGCAGAATGAATTTCTGAAACATTAAATTCCATAATCTGAATACAAATCTCATGAATGTCATGAATATAATAATGCAGTTTACTAGTGTAACTATACAGTGCCATCCCTACTGGAGATTAAACCTGTAATCTTTTTTTTTTTTTTTTAAGATAACAAGCATTAACACTGTGCCCAAAATAAGCAATGAGTAACAGTAACATGTAATTAGAAAAAAGAGACATAAGTAAACAGTACAAAGTATTCTTGTCGCCAGTGAAAATGCACATAATGAAAATTCAACCTCTATAAAACATAAAAATGCACTTCAAATGTCAGATCATGTGGGTATGTGATAGTGAAAATGCTAAAAAAAAAAAGTGTCTTAAAGGGTATTAAAATAATATAATAAGACTACCTGCTAATGCTCTATTTTATATCATAATTTTGAGCCACGTGCCATATCACTGTAAAACACTCCACTGGTCCACTGGCACTGTAGTTAAATGTTCAATATCCAAAGAAGAGAATCATTGATAATTACAAAAAAAAAGTAAGGTCCCACTTTATATTAGGTGGCCTTAACTACTATGTACTTAGATAAATAAATAAGTACAATGTACTTATTATGTTCATATTGTATTGCAAAACACTTTTGCTGCTATTGAGGTGGGATACAGGTAAGGTTAGGGACAGGTTTGTTGGTATGTAGGTTTAAGGGTGGGTTAAGGTGTAAGGGATGGGTCAACAGTGTAATTATGAATGTAAGTACAGAAATTTATTAGAGATTTAATTACATGCAGGTATTTTTAAAAAATATAAGTACCATGTAAAAACATATATTTACACAATAAGTGCTGTGTAGCAAATTGTTAATTTAAATGTACTTACATAGTAGTTAAGGCCACCTAATATAAAGTGGTATAAAGTAATATAGTTCAATATTGCCAATGAACGTAAAAATTGTTGGTATTACTGTACATTCTGGCACGTTGATGCAGAACGTATAGTAATGCCAAAATAAAATGAACTCAGCAATTAGCGTTAAAATCCTGTGCCGTTTTT